TGCTGCTAAATACCTGCATACCTACATATATGTATATTTACTGGTATATATTTGTATGACTTCCCTTTCTAACAATTTTCATTTTAGCATTCCATCATTTTCTGTAAAGATTATTCTGCAATTGAACGTCGCCGGACCTTTGAGTACATATATATTTGAATATTTTCGTTTCTTTTCTTATTGGCCTTGCTGGAGCAAAAGCACAGCCAACGGGGCGTATACGCAACCTCCGTTTGATGCGACTGCATTGGGATTGGGCAACAGCAGCTGTATGAGTACATATTTGATGGGTTGAAGGAAAGCGTCTGTTTTCTGTATTGTATGCGTGTATGTATGTCCGCAGTCATGCAATTTCATTATTGCAGTACATTTGTGCGTGTGTATGTATGCTGATGTTTACACATGCACGTGTGTATACAAATGTTTCTGGCATTAAGTGCTTGGGCAAAGGGTTGATTTAATTGCTTGGAAAAGAGTTTTTGTGGTTAACAGTCAAGGTTTTCACAATTGTTCGTTATGTGTGTTCGCATACACACATACATACACACATATATCCCTGTAAAGAAATTGGCTTTACATTTCGTACTTTGTGACATACTTTCGCACTGAAATATCCGTACAGACAGCGGCATTGTTGTTATTGCTATGCATGTGGATATGTCACAGCAATGTTTTGAGGAATGCAAACACACATTTGTCTCTGGTAGTTATTAAATTTTTGATTGCTTTGTGATATGAAATGTGAAATATTTGCAAATGTAATGCAATAAAAAAAAAATGCAAAACGAGCAATTTTGCAATTCAAAGGCATAACTCAATGTCGATATCTGCATAGCAAATTTCTTTGTGCAAACGAATAAAGAGATTGATTATAGTTTTTAAAATATCAGAAAATTAGTTAGAATCGAATTGTGATATTTCAAGAGAGAAAACGATTTTTGTGCGACACAAAGCTTATAAATCTTCTACACATGAGGCATTCTTTGTCAACGGGGGGCCCCTTATGTATTTCTTTAATTCAAAATAGCAAATACAAAACGACGGCATTAATTTTTTAAATTTGTTGAATTTGCCATATTGGATCTGGCTATTTGAATTTTAAAAATTTATTTTTATTGTCATAATCAGCAACCCCAAGAACCCCTGAGTAACAAATTTCATGTCATACAATAATATTTTAAATTTTTGGCCGCCATATTGGATTTCAAAGAACGCCACATATTAATTTAGAAGTAAATATTGTTTCCTAAATTCAAACCCTTTAACCGATTTCTTTTTTTAACTGAACCAATTTTCGAGAGAGGGAGATTTCAGTTGACGAAGAATACCCCATATACATTAGGGTGGTCCTTAAAATATCAAGATAATTGGGCACCCTTTCTTTTGTTATCCAAAAATACAAGAAACGCAGATCCTGGAAAAAGTTTAAAAAATTTATAAAAAATAAATTCAAAAAATATGTAGAGTTCATCAGATTTCAAGTAAAAATTTTGTCGAATTTTTATGGTTTACAGAAATTGTATAGGCCGCTGCTATTGTTTGAAAAAACAAATATTTTTTTTTAAATCGCAAAAATTCTAAGAAAATCCTCCTTTGACCAGCAATAACTGAGGAAGTTTATGAATTTATAAAAATGAATTCCAAAAATATGTAAAATTCATCAGATTTCAAGTAAAAATTTTGTCGAATTTTTGTGATTGCAAAAAAAACAACAAAATTTTCAAACCCTAAAACATGTTTTAAAAGTTTTAAATATTCGAGGATGTCTTTATTTCTAAGTAAGAATAAAATAAAGGGCTGCCCCCATACAAAATTTAGATGTTAATATTTTTTCAGGACCACACTAATGTGTAGAGATGTGCAGATGTCACTATCATTCCTAACTGAGTTTCGTCATGCTATCAAATTTCAAGGAATTCGCGTAACTTGATCTTTCGACAAAAAAGGAGTTTTACCAGGATAACAAAAAGGCGTGTTTCCCCTTCCCTCAAACTAGTGCAGAATGTCATAAATAGTACTTTGCGATGAGATCTGAGCAATTCGCTTTCTGAACAGGTGATATGTTGATATCAGTCTTTGATTTGGAAGTTAATTTGACAACATTTCCACTGCACTACTCTGTACGAATCGAATCGATTTCAATGCACCTACCCTGAGCTCAAAGCCGATCAGTTCATGTGAATCTCATATGTAATATATGTATGTATCTTCCTCATAACTTATCAACGTTAAGTAAAAGTGGCATCATACGGTTTTAGGCACTTTACTAAATGCCGACCTTTCGTCAGTTCATTACAAAAAAAAAAACACCAAAACAAATAAGCAATTTAGTCTCTTCTAATCCCATTTGGTTTTTAGCAGTAACTTAAAAACCGAATTTGAAAATGTGTTGCTTTCATCGGCATATATGCATACGCGCGCACATACATAAGCAATAAATCCTCAGCTTGTTTACAAGCAAACGAAACCTACTGTATTACTTATCTGCTAAAATCCACAAAATAAAATCAGAGTTTTCTACTTCACATCTAAATGCATTTGTGTGATTTTTCAAGAACGTTAAGCCTCTGCATAAGTCACTTGCCATGTGCAAAATTTCAGCTACATCTTCTCAAATTGCTCACATGAAAATCTGCACTATGCTTGCACTATATGAGCCTGTGCATGTTTTTTGAGTATATATGTGTGTGTGTGTGTGTGTGTGTGTGTGTGTTTGCGTGCCCACAAGCAACCACAATTGTAACAAACAACTGCAGACAAACAAACACTTCTCAAATGATCCTTTCAGGTTTTTCCATTTCTTTGGCTTTATTGTTGCAACTTACAAAGTTGCAGCAACAGCTGTGTCCTATGTTTGTGTTTGTCCGGCGGTTACTATGCAGTAGTTATACATACATATTTGTATGGATATTAGGATGCCTCACCAACACCAAAACCAAAAAAAGTGCTGCTTTTTTTTGCCAAAAAAAATAAAAGATTTGCCTTCTTTGTTTTTGATATTTTTAGAGACTTTTCGAAAATTTCTGTGATTTTTTCCGACTTTTCCGGAATTTTCTGTTGCAAAAGTGTATTTGAATCGTTTAGTAAATGCGTGAAAAATAAAAACCAAAAATTAGCTGTGTCCAAAAAAGTTCTGACATACTTTGCTCTGCAGGATTTTCCAAACTTTTTCGAAGCTTTTTGGCATTTTTCGCGAACTTTTAAGATTAATTTGCGACGTTTTTCGGTAGTTGTCTGCACATTCTGATCAAAAAGTACATTTAAGTCATTTTACGAATTCCTGAAAAATTAAACGTAATTCCGGAAGCTTTCCTGTAGGTAAATAGTGCTTTTTTTAAGATTTTCGTGATTTTACGTGAATTTTTGGGATATTTTCGGTATTTTTCGGAATGTTATTGTTATGTTTTGGCAACGGTCTGTAGAAAAAATGTACTTAAGGTCTTTATTTAATGGCTGAAAAATAATTACCGTTAGATTTTCTGTCCAATTAAAAGTTAAAGGACTTACAGGCTTGCGAAATTTTTTCCACACTTTTCGAGTACTTTTGAAATTTGTTCGAGACTTTTTAGGATTTTTGTATGACTTTTCGGAATATTTGGAAAGTCTTCGTTATTCCTTCGGAATTTTTCGGAAAATGTTTATACAAAAAGCTAATTTTTGGTGACGTCCGAATTTCTCAGAGTCTTGCATTTTCTTCCATAAAAATTTTGTTGACATATTTTTTAAATTTTTATAAAATTTTTAAATCAGATTTACGCGTATAATATTTATGCTGCATATTTATAAAAAATTTATGAATATTAAACAAACAAAAGGACAACTGTACATACCGAGGAACAAAAGGGTCTGCTAATCAAATGACTGTGAGTGTACATATGTATGTTGGTGGAGAGTAAAAAAACTTGTAAAAAGAGTCCACGTTTTATGACTTGCTTTGAGAAAAAGAACTGCTGTCTGTGTGTTTTTTTTTCGTTGTTGGTGGGGCGAGGCACTTTAGTAAATATCATTTCAAATGTGTATATGTACATAGGTGTGCGCGTAGTTGTGGTGAAATTGCAACAATGTTGCTGCAGCAAATTTGGAACGAAATGCGCATGCTGCCAAAAATTCGTTAAGCCAACTGTTACTGCATTAGCAACAATAATAGCAGCAACAACACGTGCGTGTAATCTCTAATACTGAGTGTGCAATGCAGCTTGTTACTGCAACATACTACATTGCTTTTGGTGCTTTCCTGTTTTTTTTTTCTTCTTCTTCTCTGTGTAATACCATAGTCACATGTTTTTTCCGTAGTGTGCTGGTGTTAGTGTACTCAAAATGTACTACCACTCAAACACGATATTTGTACGTACGAAAAAAAACGTCCGGAAAAACGCAAGGCTGGGAATTGAAATGAAGTGAAAGCACCCGATTGTGTATGTAGCTGTGTGTGTGTGTGTGTGTGTTATCCATGTATGGGTGTGTGTGTGTGTGCAACAGCTTATTGAGGCACTCAAGTGTGCTAATACACACGCCTACAAACAATGCCAGCGCTACTTGAGTGCAGCAAACGGGATGCTCGTACACACTTGAACGACAAATAAGTTTTCAGGTTTTTATACATACATACATATGTATTTATATATGTATATGTATATATTTAAGTGTGTATGCATGTAAGCACTTATGCAAGTAAAAGTACATACAAGCACCTACTTGTTTGTATTTTTCTGCTTGCTTTCCGCTTGTTTATTTGCAGTTCAGCGTAGAAGCGGCACGTGTGCTTATTTAACCCTCCACCTACCCCTTTGACTGTGCAATTGATGAGAAGAGCATGGGGGAAATATATTTTGTAATGTTTTTAAATAAAATAAAGGACCTTACTAATTATACTGCTGAGGACTTAATTTCATACCATTCTCAGAAATTTCTTCCTTTCAATACTAATGATTTAGTTCTTCATTTCTTTGTATTCTTTTCACATACTTGTTAGTATCCCTTGCCGGAAAAAAAACTTTTACGAGTACGACTACGATTATGATTAATATGTATTATGATTGCGATTACGATTAGAACTATGATTATGACTATGACTTTGACTTCGGTGTGGTGAGCATGATTATGATTAAGATTATGCCTATGAGTATGATTCTGATTTTGTTTATGACTATGAATGCGATTATGATTATGATTCTGAGTACGATTATGACTATGATTATGATTCTGAGTACGATTATGACTATGATTATGATTATAATTAGGCTTATGACCATGATTATGATTCTGATTACGATTATGATTATGATTCTGATTACTATTATGATTATGATTCTGATTACTATTATGACTATGATTATGATTATAATTATGATTATGACTATGATTATGATTATGATTTCGATTATGATTACGATTATGACCATGATTGTGGTAATCGTAATCACTAGGGTTACAATATAATGACTACGATTAGGATTCACATTACGATTACGTTTACTATTACAAATTCAATTACATTTACGACGAGAATATGTACGATTACGCTTACGTATACAATTACAATTACAATTATAATTACGCTCAAGACTACGATTACGATTCGAATTAGGAATTCGATTACTGTTAATATTACGACTACGATTACGATTACATATGCAATTGTAATTGCGATTACAATTACGCTGACAATTACTACGATAAAGAAACCTAGACACTTACATATATATTATCGATATATATTAGTAAACCAAAACCACAACGATGGCGATGGCTATTTCGATTAGTTTTATCGGTAGCATTTACTTTGTTTATATCGATAAAAATTTTGTTAACAACATGGTTGACTTTAAAAGTATCGATTACAATAAAATTACCGGTAACAGTATCGATAACGATATTTATTACTGGATCAAGTAAAAGTTTTTTCGAAAATTAAAAATTTTGTAATTTTTTTATTATTTGGAAAATATATATTTACAAAAATTGTGCTGGTGTTGTTTTAAAGGTGATATTTGGAGATACATATATATATAAAATTGACTTAAGAAAAAGTTCGAAAATAAGAAAGGCAGAATTTTGAAATTTAAAACATCTTAAAATATGAACTTTTGAAATTTGAAAAAACATTTTTTTTTACAAACTCTAAATTAAAAGAAAATGTAAATTAAATTAAAACTGCCAAACATAACTTTATTTAGAGTTTACAAAAAATCAAAGTTCAAAATTCATATTTTAAAAAAACCAAAAGCACCTTCTTCAAAATTTCAGTGTATTGTATCGGACGATTCCAACCATGATTTGGCATGAATTGACCCATATATATACACATACATACATACAGTCAGCGTCAAAAATATGAATACCCTGACGTTTTGATGATTTTCTTTACTAGCATTTTCACCAATTCTTTTATTTTTTTATGAAAATATAATTCATTCAGAACCAGCAGAATCAATTTTTTCAATTCAATATAATTTTCAAAATTCAAAATAATTTTCTAAGAAATGGAATATAAAAGTTGAAAATTTTTTGATATTTCTTGAATTTTCCCGAGTTCTACATGCAATTGGAAAATTGATGCTGCTGGTTTATGCTGGTGCGTGCACTATATTTCTATTAAAAAACAGAAGAAAAATTTGTTATGCAAAATAAAGATAAAGAAATGTCAGGGTGTTCATATTTTTGACGCTGACTGTATACAAAAACGTGAATTACAATCAGCTCAATAAAAGTCACGCCAGTTTCATATATGTATTTATGAACTACAAAAATTCTCTTGACAATTCAAATCAATAGATACTCGTATTGAATAAACTTAAGATTTGTGTAAGTGGCGAAAAGTATATCAGAAAAATAAAAGTGCGTAACAATCACGACAGATGTTCGCAAGTTAATACAAATACAAAGCTGCAGAATATGCTCTTAACAAAAGAAAGGAATGAAAAAAATAAAAATGAAAACCGAACCATTTACTAGGGTGAGACTAACAAAAACGCGAGTATTTTTTACTTTTTTATTTATTTTATTTGCGTAAAGTAAAAGAAAATTTTATCTACCATGATGCAAAAAAGCTGCTCAAAGAAAAAAGTGAAGAAAGAAAGTAGAACTTGAAGTTGGGATATTGAAAAATAGGAGATCAAAAGAATTCAATAGGAAAAAAAAATATGAAAGAGCTATGAATTACAGGAGTATGGAGCATACTTTTAGGTGCAGCTGCTGCTGCTATGGAGAGAAGCGCAAATACGAGTTAACAAGTTCCCTTCGATTTATGTTAAAGAAAATAGTAATCATAATATAATGCCTTTATATTTGTACTTTTACTATGCGAAGAAATCTTTTATTTACCCTAATACAAAGCTGAAAGTCTGTAAGAAGTCAAAGGACATCACAGACATCAAATACAGCCAACAAAAACAGAAGAAATCCAAAATACTCTATAAAAATATTCGAGGGCATAAAGTCAAAGTGCAGATTAAAGACAAGCAACCGGCTTTAAATTCACAAATAAACGTAAGACATTACGAAACGTTTCCCCCCCCTTTCGTGGAGAAGCATTCGTTTGCTTTATGGTCAACAAGTTGAGCGTCGCCAAGCCTTTGCAAATGCCACAAACAGCGCTTTTTGATTTATAAATTTGTATGTATGTAAACATACATACATATATGTGAGTACAACACGCAAACATCTACAAGCATATATTAAAATTTGTTGCTTTATTTGCCTGAATTGCGTTGATAGCATCAAAGGATTTTTTTAATGTGTTTTGAAATATTTTTCTTCCGGGTGAAGGAAATGGAAGATGTCGTCCTTTTTCACCCGTTTTTTTTTTTATTGCTTTTGCAATTTTATAGCCATTAAAATTCCTCCGCTCCTGTATATTGGTATTTTGGTTGATGGCAGCAGCGGCTGTCAAGCGCAGCGCAGCCTACGCCAAGTGCTGGTATTCGCACAGTTTTAAGGCGCAAAAAGGATGAAGACAAAGACTGGGTGAAAATAAAAAAAATAATTGCGCCTGGTTTCACTTACATACATATATGTATGTATGTGGACACATGTGAATCTTTTGCAACCGGGCGTGAGTACGTGTGCCAGAATGCGCCAACTTGCAAAAAAGCAGAAACATAAATCATTCTAATTTTATCGAAGGATAAGCAAATTATTTTTAAAAGGACTTGCATTTATGGGGTTATGCATTTGAGTTAATTTTTTTTTTTCTTGAGGGTGAATTGCTTTTATTTTTTTTACTTGCCACGTGACCAGCACACGTGCGGTATTTACTTGTATTGCAAAGCGAGGGTGTTAGAAATGTGAATATTTGTAATAAGGCAAACAAAAAAATCCTTTTCTCTTTAAACAATAAATGTAGATATTAGGCTGCAGCACTCTTCGTGCAAAAAAAAATCTGTACGATTTTTCCATCGCAATTATAAAATCTATTATATTTTAAGACGTCCACCAAAATATTTCAGAAAAGTATTAAGATTAACCTGAGTTTGATCGATTTGAAAATACCTCCAAAAATCTAATTTTTTTAAACAAAATTAGTTTTTAAAAATATTTGCTCTAAAACGTCACTTCAGGTGTTAGAAGAGTTTAAGTGTACAGGGTCTGCATAAAAATGTTTAAAAATTTGAGCAACAAAAACAAAATAATTAAATTTTTGGAAGTATTTTCATCAGTCCAGCTGACGTAAGTATTAACGTATTTCAAAAACATTTTGACAGAATTATTGAAATATATTCAAATGTATGATGTTGGTGGAAAACCCACAACTATTTTTAGTGAGGCACCCTAATGTATGTGTATTTATTCATACAATTTTGTTTTCTTTCTGCATTCATTCAAGGTGAAATAAAAGCGAAGTTTTTATGTTTGTTTTTTTACCAGAAATATTCCGGAAATAGTTGAAGTTTATTTTTCAGTCCAAAAAACAAGTAGCATCTCTAAAAGCCCTGAAATTTATAAAAAACAGAGGCACACCGAAAAATTCCAAACAAATAGAGAGTCCCAAAAAACTAGGAAAAATCCGAAATAGTCCCAAAAAAAATATTAAACAGACACCGAAGATTCGCGAAGCATTTCATTTTACTACTAAGCTAAGTTTTGTCATTTATTTTAGTCCTAAAAAAGTCATGAAAAAGTCCCGCCAATTGCCGAATAACTTAACTTAACTAGCAGCTTATTATTTTATTGTCCGAAAAGTCCTGAATATACCGAAAAATTTCTAAAAAGTTCCGAAAAGCCCCACTGATCCGAAAAAATTCCGGAAAATTCTAAAAAATTATGAACAATTCCGAAAAAATCTCAATACCATGCCCAAGTGGCAGCTTTTACATTTTATTTTCTTGTCCGAAAAGTCCTGCAAGATCCCGAAAAAAACTGCAAAACCCCCACTGGTCCAGAAAAAGTTCCGAATAGTTCTGAAAAAGCACGAAACTTTCCGCACGTTCCAAAAGAATCAGTTTAAAAACATATAATTTTAACACCAAGCCGAAAGCATAAAACACAAACACAAAGACAAAGGCAGAAAAAGTTCCAAAAAGTCACCCCGAACCCCGAAAAATCTTGAAATTTTCTCAAAGTACAAAAAAAAACCGAAGTTAACCGAAAAAATCCCGAAAAGTGCCGCTGTAAACGCAAAAAGTTTAATAAATCCGAAAAGTATCGCACAAAATTAAATATAAAGTATCCAGCATAGAGCCACCTAAAACTGAAAATTTCAGATAAAGACTCAGAAAATTTCGAAAAATCTTGAAAAACAAAATACAAAGAATCCCGATAACACCTAAAACAAATCTCGGTAACTCTCGAAAACATTTGAAAAACGAAAATTTGTACGCCAAATAATAAAAGCCACAAAAAAAATCAGTTTTTTTCTGCTCAAAATAATGTAGCGAATTCTATCGCCATATTCGAAAAATCAGAACAAAAACTTTTTCATTTCAATTCTTTCAATGATTGCAAAACCTAAAAACATTTTTTTTTTCAAACCCTTTAATATAGCTTTTTCTGAAACCTTAAGCATAACTAGTTAAGTTAATTGAATATCTTATATGTAAATACACGTCGATGGCGGCAACTCTATTCGACTATATTTTCGATCAGTGCATTCCAAAGCGGCTCTATTTTATTGGCAATACTGTAAATTTCGATAGCTATAGTCAAATAATTTTAATTACGGCGATAGGTGGCAACCCTGATCAGAATGTTTGTTATTTTATTAAGTTTCCGCAACCATTTTTCTTTTGTTGCCAGTATTTCATATTTATACTAATGTTTTTTACGTACCGAAAATTTTTCAAATATTTATAATTATGTACTTTCATGCATGGTAACCTTATTTTTTAATAAACACTCCAAAACCGCTTTCGTTACAAATTAATATTGCATATCTTTTTCGAAATTTTACATATCGTAATTTTGTGAAGTAATTGTATATGTTTACTTCTATAGTTGGCAACCCTAATCAATTTTAACATTTTGTATTTTTGTAAACTCAATTAACTTTGTCCTTTTTCTAATATTGCGCACATGAAAATTTGGAGCTTCTCTGTCTGGTGGTAACCCCGAAATTTTTTTTAATCAATCCTTCTCAAGTTCGTATCGTTTGAAACCATATCTTTGCAATAATTTACATACCAATATTTATTTAAATGATATTAATTGCTTCGTTAGGTGGCAACCCTGCCCAAAAAAATAATATTTTTGAATCAAGTTTTTCCAAATAAATTTTATTTGACACCGATAATGAATATTTTTTTAATATTTTACATTGCCAAATTCCAAAAAACTCCAATTATTTCAATTATTTATTGAATGACAACCCTGTTTAAAAAATTAATTTAAAATCAAATTGTCTTACACTCCCAGGTGCTACTAATAGTCACACATATCTTTTTCGATATTTTACATACCAAAATTTATTTAAATAAGGTGGCAACCCTGATAAAAAATTTCTAATTTGTAATCAAAGTTTTTCAAATCATTTTCGTTTGGTACCAATATTGCACATAAATTTTTCAAGGCATTAATTTCCATGTCCGTCAGTAAAAATTTTGGGTCCTTTGGAACCAAGCATGTTTCTTCTTCATCGGCATATTAATTGTAAATTAAAAAAAAAGTAATAATAATCGGCTCATTATTTACACACAAAGTTGAAGACATGATTCCCCATCTATTAAAATATCGATGCATATATTTTTACGGTTAAGCACCTTCCTGATACATATTCACAAAAACAAAAAATTTCCTTGCAAGTTCAATATCCAACCGGCAAAACAGTGGTTGGTTAGCTGCAATCTGTATACCTAACATTCAAACGGTGATAACAGCGCTATGCTAAGTTATTTTGCATAAGGGTTTACATTGACCGTTAGTTAGCATTCTTGCATTCGGCACACCGTCAACACAAATGCATTGGGTGCCACAAGTAACAGAGAAATTTTACTCTCTGCATTTACCACCCAGAAAGGTGAATGGTAGCCAAACATAAGCCAAGCAGCAATAAACAGTTACAGAGAGAAGCACAGAATGGTAAGCGAAAGTCTGCAAATATTGAGCAGACCAGCGGCGAAAGAGTGCAAGAAGTTAGTGCGGTACCACTTCGGCAACCGACGGCAGAGTGCGACAACAGAGCCAACTAAAATACGCGTACCAGCCGGCAACGACAACCGCAAAATGGAATCGATGAACTTCCGGCGCAAGAGCAGAAGTTGCCATAGCCGCTGCAACAGCAGTGTTAAACCAAAAAGCAGTGTTGAACGAAGAGGAGTGCGTAACAGTGAAAGAAGTAGCAGCGGCCATTGTGTGTTGGGGCCAAAGCAATAACAGCAGCAGCAGCAGCAGCAGCCACCAGTAGCCGGCAGCTTAAGCAACACAGAGTCCATCAGCATCAGTGGTTGCTTGCTGCGCTCAGTTGTTGTTGGACTGCAGAAGTGTCGTGTTGTGGCAATGATTAAGAAAGCGGAAGAATGTTAAAAAAAATATATATACAGAATTTAACAAAGAAATAAAAAACTAACACATTACTTGAGAAAAAATAAAAAGCAAAGTGTTAAATAAAACAGAAGTGAGAGTATGCTAATCCGAGAGAGGCACGAGTGTAGAATTTAAAGAACGAAAGTTGTGCGATCTCAGTGAAGCAAACTCGACAAAGCAAACATACGGATACAAACAGATGCAAGCAAATGTTGCAAGTTCATCGTCGTGCATGACGCATGTGTTGAATTTGAGATTGCCTATCCGTGTATGAACACATATTTATGTAGACGCACGCACGCACGCACGCACGCATGCATGTAAGTTTTGTTTGTAGCGGAGCGTAGTGGCATGCAGGATAGTACGTGGCAATTTTTAACAGTGACTGACAGCAAACAAGTGTGGTGGTGTTTTTTGTTTAGACTTTTTCTTGCTTTTTTTTCAATTTGTAAAAAAAAAATGTGCTGATGTACGCAAAGTAAATGTTTGAGGTTGTTGGCATATGGTAATGTGTATCAGCAGTGGTGGTAGTGGTGGTGGTGGTGGCAATAAAAATAGCACTAACACAATAAAAGCATCTACATACATAAGTAGGAGTGCGCAACACTGTAACAAGTGCATTGTAAAGCAAATACGTGCGAGACATTGTCTGAAGACAAATGAAAATATATATGTAAATATGCTTATATTTTTTTATAGAAGAGAAGAGCAGATTTGTGTTAAAAGCAATGAAATGAAAAGTTAAAAATATTGACTGAATTAGACTTTTGTGAGTTCCAAAGCCATTTTTTAGTAGTCCGAAAACCATATGGATCAAATCCTGCTAAGAGAACTGCAATAAACTAAAAGTAACGCAGAAACTTTGGTGATTTTTTGTTCACGAATAAATATTTTGAAGTATGTATTTTTAATAGCAATGTATTAATAGTAATAAGTACTAAGTACTAAATAATCCTACTGCTATTATATGTAAATGTGAAAGTTTGTAAGTGAATGAGTGTGTGAGTGTGTTTGTTGCTATTTCACGCTGAAAAAAGCTAGATTTATTTGAATACAATTTGGCACACAGATAGGTTATAAGCTGGATGAACATATAGCATATTTTTGGGGAAGAGTGTTGCCAACTTTTTCAAAAGATAAAAACGAACAAATAATAATTTAAATAAAGTATCACAACATTGTGGGCGTCAAAGGAATATATGTATGTATATAGGGCTGCCACCTGTTAAAAATTTAAAAATCAATTTAATTAACATCTTAAACGAAATATTTTAATATGGGTATCAAACGAGAAAGAGTTTTCTTTCAAAACCATCTCCAAAGGCTGCTGCCACTTGTGCACAAAATTTAAAACAATTTATTTCCTAAATATTTTTTAACAGGGCTGCCACCTGTTCAAAAAGTTAAAATAAATTTTGGTTAACATGTTAAATGAAAAATTTTAAAATGGGTATCAAACGAAAGAGGCTAAAGACAGCTTTGTTTCAAAAACATGTTTAACCCTTGTGTTAATACCCAAATTTTCTTACGTTGTCTAGCACCCGGGGTACCCGGGTACCCACACAGTATTTGTGCTACTATTCTTCACAAATCCATTTTGCGGACTGACATTTTTTTGTGAATATAGATTAAATTAAGAGAATTTAGTAAGAAAAATTTCAAAAATAATATGGGAGTCCCCTAACACGCACATGTGCTATCGCAAACATCTATGTATGTCCCTTTCCAAGCACTTGCTTTCATGGAATTTTACTCTTGTTGGTACTTTGCGAAAAAATAAGCCCTACATAGAAAACATAATGGGCTCCAAAGAGGGCCTGAGAGCAGTACTCTACCGTATTTGGTGTCCATGAAAGAGTAACTATGTGCTTATACGTACCAAACAGAAATAAACCGGTAATTATGCTATCCACATTGCATTGCGATAAGGCTGTGAACGATGATGATAAGAAGACACCCCATATTATATCTTATTATAATAAGTATAAAGTTGGCGTTAATACCATGAACCAGATGGCTAGAAGATACACAACGAAACGACGACTTTTGCGATGGCCTTTAACGATGTTTTTTGCAATATAATAGATATTAGTTCACTCGTAGCTCCTCGTTCTTTATACTGATACGTCGTGGCATTCATTCCAGTATTGAATTTTGACTTAGTTTTTGTTGTACCTTGGAAAATGATCTTTCTTTGTTGTAATGTATCTCAGTCAACATAACCTCAGCAGAAACTCTTGCGCATTAGGCAGAGATAGAGTTTTGGATATCATCCGACGTTCGATAGCCTTCAATATCCTCATTTGCAGAATTCAGATCTTTATCATCTTTGCCAAATGAGTATTGCTTTCTTCTCGCATAACAAAATTGATAAAAAATATCGTTCTTTATATCGATAAGTTCCGAAAATATCGATAGCAAAATCAATAACAATATCGATAAAAATTTCGATAACATAATCGATAAAAAATATCAATAACTAAACCGATAAAATATCTATTATTATATCAATAAGTCCCGAAAATTCCGAAAATCTCTAAAATCCTGAAATAGTCCCCAGATTGAGCCTCTGTCTATATCCTTTTCTCTATAATTACCTTTAATTTAATCTTTCTTCCTCTATCTTTAACTGTTTTACTATTATCGGTATCCTCATCCTCATATTTTTCTTCGATTTTCGAGAATTTCGGTAATAAAAAAAATTTGCTAATTTTTTCAACAATTTTTTCCCTTAAAATTATCGATATTTGTTGAATTTATATAAAATTTATACACGATAATATTTCTACTGTTTCAAAGAACCTCATCCCGAAAATGGAAGTTATATCTGCAAATTAGAAGTTGCTAGAGCACTTTAAAGGCTCAAAATTGATACTGAAAAAAGCATATATTTACCGTTGTTTCTACGACAGACACCGAATTGGGTACTTACAGAAATAGATCTGTCGATAGGTCTGGAATTCTGTCTTTGAAACGCCACATTCTTCTTTCAAATCGCTTCACTAGTTCTCGTGCAATAACCGTTTTCGTGAAGCTCTAAAAATTACAATTACAACATTTAGGCATAGCCTCCATATCGAAACGTAAGACGTATTATACGTAAAAAAAAGATAAGAGAGTTGCCACCTGTTTGAAAATTGCACTTTAATTTAATTGATAAGATGAAGTGAATACATATTGCAACATGGCTATGGAAAGAATGAGGTTAAAGAAGGCTTACAGCCGAAAATATTTTTGTTGAAGGTTGCCATATATTTGAAAATTTTAAATGAATTTAATTCGTAAAAGTAATTAAATATTGCAATATGTGTATCAAAGTGAAGAGGTTTACTGTCGAAAACATTTTTGGAAGGAGGGTTGCCACCTGTTTGGAAAATTGTATGAAATTATGAATTGATAAAATAAATGAAGTATTACAAAAATACTTTTAAATCGCAGCAAAGCACGCCGGGTATTTGCTAGCTTTGAATGAAAACTGGGAAAATATTCCAATTTGGTTATATGCGACTCTGTCACTTGAAATTTCATAGAAACTATTTATTCTGCTCAAGAAATACTGCTGAGTACGACTGTCTCAACTACAGGATGTCCTGTCCGAGTAGAGAAATACTCCGCTTTCTGTTTACTTATGCAAGATTTTAGTGTAGATGGTAATGCGATATTTTCCCAATGTTGAAGGCGCGCCTCAAGATTCGAATTTGAGTTCCACTAGACTAGTCTCAGTTATCACGCAAAACCCCGAAATTTTCATTTCAATTAGCCACCAAAAAAAAATTAAAGTCTTTCAAAAAATGTCAAAGTTTGTTAACAAATTTAATCGACGACACAAACAAAAAGGAGCTGCGGCAGACACTTTGCATAGAAAAAGCATAAAAAAGTTAGACGACGAAGAAGAAGAAGAAAGTGACTAAAATAAATATTAGCTTAGTCAACATGATGGTGGTGGCGCGAAAAGAGCGCTGTTGAGAATAAAAATATGAATGAAAGAAATTTCTGGAAATCTTTTGTCGCTGCCGAAACTTAAAATCTTTCACAATTTTCTTTAATTTCAATGCATTAAAACATTTTCACTTTTCATTTATTTAAAAAGCCACTGGGAAACAATGTCGTCTAGCTCTGTATTGTTCTTGTGTTGCGCTTTTCAGGTTTCATTTATACAAAAATAGGAAAAAACAGCGCGCTACTATCATTTTAGCTGTGGGCCGGCTGTCGCCATCGCCAACGCCTCCTCCAACACAACGCCTAACTGAGTTGCTTACTTGCTGTTGCTGAGGCTAAAGGATGGTGCCCACCCCTTACCCGAATGTCGTGTAAAACTCAGACACAAACACACCACTGTATTCTTACATTTCTTTACCTACTTCGCGCCGTGGAATGACGACTAACTGGCTCCTTAGCTGGTTGAGTGGTTCGCGCATTTGGCGTAGCGCTGTCCTGATGGACCACCTTCAACGCTCCTACTTGGTGGCCTTCATTTGTGGAAAACAAACGCTAAGCTGCTCTCTGCCTACAGGCGACTCAAACTTTTCAATTTTTTTTTTTGTTTTTTTTTTTGCTGTGTTAATCCCACCAGCGACTAACGAAAAGTTTTAGCACCATCCCACACTTTGCAGCTGACAACAGTGTTTTCTCGCATTTCCTTCGTTTTCTTTGGCATTCCGAGGGAGTTTATCTTTTAAATAGTGACGCCTTTTGCGCGGCGAATCTGTTTCATTCCGAATTTCATGTCAACCCATTTTTCCTATTTTGATTATTTTATTTTATTTTGTTTTTTTTTTTGCCCCTCCTTTGAAATTCGCTTTCAATTTACTTTTTGCTGCCGCAACTATTGCGGCAATTTGTTGACTGTTGCTGCCAAATTTCGGCTTGTCGTATTTCCGGTGGCACTTTTTCTTTCATTTGCTACCCTTTTATTTATTTAAGCAAAAAACTTTGCTTACGCTTTGATTTTCTATTTACTTAGGTACCTTCTACTACTTATGTATGTATGTATGTATGTATGTATGTATGTTAACCGCCGTTTCGTCTCCATTGGCTAAACTTTCGCTTTAGCTACCTGCAGTCGCTGTGGATTATAGCTTTAAGTCGAAATTTGCTTTGCACATTTCCCATCTGCTGTGGGGCGTTGAGGGCGTTGAGTACGTACTCCCCTCTCCCACCCTCTTTGCAGACGCGTCAGCAGCTATCCGCTTGCTTTTACAACTTAATTTAAAAATCTGCGAAAAAGTTCAAAGTGTTGTGCGACACTTAATTTTGAAAGTTTGCCATTCGTTTGGTTTTTTTTTAAGTTCAGCTATTTTTCGCTGTTAAGCTGTCGGGCGACAACATTTTTTAAGTACAAAACTTTTTGAAGCTGTGCAATTTTTACAGCGATGGCGTTAGTGGAAGTGAAAGAGTTAGCATACCTGCTTCTGTTGTTGCTTGTTTTCGATACTTAGTAAGCAGTTAATAAGTGGTTTTTAACTCGTTCTGTTTGGCTAAGTTAAAAGTTTTTTAAAAATTAAATTTGGAAAAAATTTCATTTATGCAAAATTTCTTAATAATTTCAGACATGGTTGCCACATTGTTTTGAAATTTTTGAAGTATAATATTAATTTAACATCCTTCTACTTGAAATATTTAAACGTGTATTGAAAACAAAATGTTGGCCGTTTTAAAATATCCGTGAATAGAGTTGCCACCTAATTTTAAACAAACAATTTTTTATTTACTTTTTCTTAACTTAAATACATCCTACTTACTACTTAAAACATTTTGGCTTGAATTGGAAGTAATATTCAATATTAGGGTTGCCACATACCTTTTTTAGCAAAACGTCATAATAAATTATTTAATAAATTTCTATTAAGTAAAATGTGTGTATGATTGTTTATTTTATCTTTTTGCATATTTTCGTTGTAATCATTTTTAAGTAGGATTACCACATATTTTTTTATACAAAATAGTATAGAAAGTATCTCTTAAATCGCACTGCTATACACCATGGAATAAAACAACAAATTTTCCCGCTATTTGGCGTAAATATTTTTGGGTGGGGTTGCCATATAACTTTAAAAGAAAATATTTAATATTTTTTTTTTTTTAAGAAAACTCAACATCCTCATAATCAAGCAAATCATAACTTCAAATTTGTCTACCCTTGTAATTGAAGTTTTTTCTAACTAAGAAAATTCAAAATTTAATATTTTTAAACATGTTTTAATATAATAAAAGCTCAACTCATCTATATCACTATGTATTACAATAATATTTTTACTTCAAAATACCTATCTTTGGTTAGAGTTGCCACATATTTTTTGGCAAACATATTACAGTTAGTATACCAAATATCGGTTAAATAAAGTTGTGTCATGCTTTGCATGTAAGTCTTACTTCAACTTCTCTCGTTTGAAAACCATACTAAAATAATTATTTTAACTTGTTATTTAAATTGATTCTGAGTTTCTAAACAGGTGGCAATCTTCTTAAAATATATATATAAATACATAAACTCGGTCTGCATAAACTTGTTTCGATTAATACAATATAGATACTAAAAAAGGTTTCTATTAACTAACTAATTAAACTTGTAATCACTTTTTAAGCAGGTGGCAAGCTCTTTTAAAAATATTTTAGAGACAAAACTTACTTAAACCTCTCTCAATTTGATTATCATTTCAATACATTTTATTTATATTTACTAATTAAACTGATTTTAAATTCCTTAAAAGATGGCAACCCTCGTCAAAAATATTTTCGGACTAAAGCAATGTATTGTTTGATAGCCATATAAATATATTTCTTTTAACTTGGTAACTTAATTTATTTTGATTTTCCTTACAAGTGGCACCCTCTTCAAAAGTATTTTCGAAATAAAACTTTCTTTAACTTCTTTGTCTAAAAGCCATATTAAGGTGCATTTAATTTAACTTTTTAATTAAATGGATTTCAACTTTTTGAAAAGGTGGCAACCCTCTTCACACGTATTTTCGAAATAAAGCTTTCTTAAAGCGTTCTCGTTTAAAGCCTTATTTAAATGTTTAATTTAACTTCTTAATCGAATTGCCTTACACTTTTTGAATAGGTGGCAATGCTCTTCAAAATTATTTTCGAAATAAACCGCTTTTGAGCTCCTTTCGTTTGACACCGACAATATTGTAATATTTTACTTAACAGATAAATTAATATTCCCCGCAGTTAAGGCTAAAATAAAGTCGACTCGTTTAAGATAATTCCAGCCTTTTGAAATAATTTTCAATGGGATATCTGCCAAAAAAGCTACAACTAAGTTTAGAGTCGAATTTTTTTTTACTATTAAAAAGAGCTGGGTTTTGTTAAAAAATAAAGGTCCCTTAATTCCCGATAAAAAAAAAAAACCGAAATGTCATTAAATTTAAAATACCACTTTAATTTAAAATACCGCAATGTGTATTTATCATTAATATTTATTAAGGAATTTTACATATTTCATTTAAATAAATATTCAAACCGCATACTAATTTAATATTTTTTCCTCTCTCTTTTACAGTTGTTAAACAAACGCCAATAGTGTGGTAAGTAACCGAAAAAAAACATTTTAACAATCACATGCAAACGTCAAATGTTATTATTTATTTTAGTATTTAAATAAACAGCTATTATTAATTAGAAAGTATGTAGTAAATAGGTACCAGATAGGGAGCGCAAAAAAGTTGCTCATACGCCATGTCAAGCGCAAAAAATTCTGTGCAAAACCGCCGTCAAGTAAATAGCAAACCTAAATGTATACTAACTTTTAAAACTTTAACTAATTACACAATCAATTATTTACATAAACGCAAAACAGAAAATATAAATCAGGGAAAATAAAAAGGGCAAGGGAGAAGCTATATTTGCAAAGACATATATACGTCCTTCGAAATGTGTGGGTTGCATATTTTTGACGGCGAAAATTACATTCGACTATTGAAGCGTATATTGCGTTCGTGTGTGTGAGTAATTGTATATTTATGCGCTACTTTATTGAGCGGAAATAGTATTTGCTTAGCTGCATGCACATTAGGGTGAGCCAAAACTAACTAACCTAACGAATTTATGGCCTTAAAATTACCTATTTACTAAGAAGAAAATTCTCCCATTTGGAAAAATGTTTATTTCAATTTTAAGTGGAATGTTCTCGTGAAAATAACATGTAAACTTTTTTTCATTAAAAAGGTTACAACTTTTAGACCAAATTTTTTCTAGGCATATTCCTGCAGGGCATTCTCTCAAAAATTACCCTGATGGTCAGAAGTTCTTTAGGTGAGATTATTTGGCTCACCCTAATTCACATGTATGTACATTAGGGTACCTCACAAAAAAAATGTGCGGTTTTTCAACCGGAATTAATAAATTTTATTATAATTCAAAGCTTTCGTCAAAATATTAAGATTTTATAAAATTTTTAAACATTTTTAAACATTTTTATGCAGTCATTTTGAGTTTAAATGGTCCTATTAACTGAGGTGATTTTTTTTAAGAAAAAATTTTTAAAAACTAATTCTATAAATTAAAAAACAAAAATCATTTTTTGAGATCCAGCTCACGTACATATATAAATCTTAATAATTTTCTGAAATATTTTGACGAAAGTCTTAAAATATAATTGCTTTTATAATTCCGACAGAAAAAAACAGAACCGATTTTTTTTTATGTATGGAAAGTGATGCGCCCTAATGTATGTACATATGTATGTGCAAATATATAGTCGTTAAGAACAACTCCATAAATGTAATGTGAATGTGTGTGTGTGAGTCGCATGTTTATGCGAATACATGCATGTGACACATTTGTTTCGCTATGTATGCTTTATCAAATCGTTACAGCTGGCAAATGTGGAAATGTTAATTATGCGCGGCCCTGTTTTAGCAAATATTACCGTTAATGAACTTAATAATTCAAGCAGACAAACACAAATACCAAATACATATGTACATAGGCAGTCGCGCATAATTGTCGAAACTTAAATCGAAGTTGGAATAACTAAGCGGATAGGAAGGGCGTACAAACTTCATCACCAGCTATTTCGCGTACTTGCATTAAATTTTGTATATATGCATGTATATGTATGTATACCCACACACCCACCTTCAAGCAGTGCACGCATTTTGGCGCGCAAAATGCCAATTTTATTAAACCAATTAAAAATTTAGTATCAAATTAGAGCCATAGAGCGATAGGCATGCCACAATTGCAGCGATTACAACAAAAACAATTCCAATAACAATAACTTCAACAAGAATAACAACAGCAATAAAAAGACCACATCTGTGCCACTCTTGGCCATTATGGCTGACCATTATTTCAATCAGGCCAATATATTTTATGCATTAAATAAAATATTTCGATGAAAATGGTTACACTTGGTTTGCTGAAATTAACTTTTGGCTCAAAAATGCGCTAATAATGGTTTTTGTTGCGGTAATTGCGCATTACATTAAATGTGGCAACATAAGTAAATACTTAAGCCTACTTCACAGTTTTATTGATTTTTAGGAAATCTATAATATATGCACATTAGAGCGGGTCAATTATTTTTGTGTGTTAGCGTATAGCAAAGGAGAATTCTAGGTCTAGTTCTAAGCAAATTTGTCGCACAAATTACAAGTCTAAAATCAATTTTTGGAGTCTGGCAAATTACGAAAATAGATGGCGAAGGTAATGTGAAAATGTTCACTATTTTGCTCTCTGGTGGATATTTTAAGAAAAATGTATACGTGCAGAAATGGATTCTCTTTTGCAAGGTTTTTATACAAAATTTAAGCACTTCTTTTCGACCCTACAGCAAAATTCTAAGAATGTTATTTTCACAATTTGGCAAACTAAAAATTGATTATAGATCCATGGTTGCTTCGGCAAAATTTCTTAGAATTTTTTCTGTGCTATCTCCCATACAAATTTACAATGTAACTGTTATCAAGCAACATAAAAATAAACGCTGGGAAATAACTGTTATCTAACAACGTAAAAAATAAACCTTGGGTTATAAATAAATCTTATCGGCGAAATAAAAAATATTTTTCATCTAATAACTGTTATGAAACAACGTTTTCGTTAAATATCAGACTTCGGGCAACGTTTTCAATTTGAAAATTCGAGATAACGGTTATTTTTAGTCGCTGCTTTTATAATTCTTACGAAAATTTTGATGACGTTTTTAAAACTCCGCCATGAAATAATTAATATTCTGGGTCTCTGGAAAAAAATATACGTTTTTCTTTTGTTTTTAATGTTAGTCGGTAACTGAGCTCAATCCCATATTACCTTTAGTAAGTTGCAATAGCTTGCACTGCTAAACTTATTCGCAAGAATGTTGTCGCAGCAACTCTATGCAAAAAATTTATTAAATTATTTGTGCTTTTATTTTTTCTTTTAAATATTCTTACATTTTCGTCTTTCCTTTTTTTAATTCCTAAACATATTTATTTTCAATTTTCTCCTTTCACTCACTAACTAGTTCTCACTTATAACTTTATTAACCTTACAAGTTTAAACTCGTTCACTTCTGTCCAACTTTTATAGCTCTCATCCTATTTTTTTAATTTTTTTTTTTTGCACTACTCGCTCGCAAGCACATTAACGTAGGCAAAGTCTGTTGCTTACATACGGCTACATATATTGCACCACTGTCATACCCTGCCCTTCACACCGCATACTTTATTAAATAGTTAATTCGAGCCCATTTTCAACGGTGCTTAAAGGCAACTTTCTAGAGGTGAACACTCGTAAATAGTTTTGCCATAAATTAACAATTGCAAATGTAAATAAAAGTGAGTGACGGTTGCTCTCCTGCGTCGTTATGGCGTTATGTGTACATATGTAAGGCCGCTTTACTTTACCCTAACTAACCACTGTGCATATACCCCACCCTCTGCTGGCGCTGGGTTTAATGCACTGTGCTTTCAATGAAATCTTGTACTTCCCTTTGCCGTTACTCACCTGCTTCTAGGCCTCTTTGAATTTGATTCATATACTCATTCCATTTCGGCTACTGTCACTTCAGCAGAGATTACTTTTTGTTTTTCGTTTTTTTTACTTTTTCACAATTTTTAACATTTTATTCATCACCAATTTCATTACAACTCATTTAACGGCCCTTCTGTTTTGTACTTTGCTGTTGAATAGTTGCCTTCATTTAACAGCTAGCTACATTAATAAGTTTCTTTCATCGTCCCAATTCGCCTTGACACATTTCAGCAATTCAAAACAGCTGGTGTTTAATGAAATGAAATGAGCGAACGATTGGAGGATCGTTCAGCGTGAAGTGTGCTGCATAAGTATTTAGTGATGTTGTCGAAATAGTTTTAGCGTGCTCGTATGCGAAAAAAAAATAAAACAAATCAGAAAATTTGTTTAGGCGGTATTGTTTGTAAGTACTCTTCTGGGAGCTGTGAGGTTGATGCACGCGTAGGTAACTGAAATGTAACACTTTTGGCCCAAATATAGGAATTTATGGCAATGCATATACCAGTAAAGATCTTTTTAATGATTACAACGATAACTAAAATGATAGTAGTACTCACTAAACTTACCGATAACGATAACAATAACGATAGCAGTAAAAAGATATATAATGATAATTTTCAAAACTACTACAGCGATTTTTATGAAGATAAGCTATAACGATTACTATAAAGATAACGAAAAGCGATAAAACTTGGAAATAAAATAGGTGTTTATAACCAAACTCATACTCTTACTGACAACGAGAGCATAACGATAGCAGTATCGGAAACTGTAAAAATTACCAATGACAACGATATCGATGGAGATAAATAATTTCAAGGAAAACGATTAAAATACCGATAGCGATAACAGTATTTAAGGATTTTATACAAAAAACATCGGCAACGATAGAGCAATGATGTTTATCACTTTGAACGTGAATTAGAAAATATGTTAATATACGGGATTCTTCTAGTTTCTACGGGATTCTTCTAGTTCAGTTCGTCGGAATACTTTTTTTATTTTTTTTTATGTATGTTACCGCATAACTTTGGACCACGTCAACCGATTTAGATAATTCTGCAACCGATTTCGATAATGCATCGGAAAGGTAGTGTCTCAGAGGTAGTCCCATACTAATCTGGTTAAGATCCGATCAGTGGATCATGAGATATATATATATTTTTTTTTTATATGACAGTTGAAGTCGGTTTTTTTTTTGCTAAAAATTACTTGTTCTTAAATCGATTTCGAATTAAAATCATACGATTAGGTTTTTATGTTTCGATTACATTAGGTTAGGTTGAAGCGGCTGCCTTCATCCAAAATACATTGCAATCCATTTAGTCAACAGTACTCGAACTGAAATCGAAAAAATTGCTCGAAAAATCAGAGCAGTTCGCCAAATTTAGTTTAAGAATTTCAATCGAAAACGAAAACCGTTATATCTTCTCATATTAAAATTGTTTGTATGAGAAGCGTTCTAGCCTGCATTTAATACATAATCTACACAAAGAATATGCCTTAAAAATATCCTATAATGATAAAAATGTCTATAAAAAAACGATAAACAAATAGATTCCGATAGCGA